AATAAGGATTCGCTTATAAACGAAGAAAAAGTACGTAGGGCTTGTAATATCATAAATAACACCGGCCAACACGCCCAAGCTATAATATAACATTACAATACTGAATATTAATTGTTAGACTTACAGTTGTGGGCTTGACTGTGTGTTTGCAGTTTCTCATGTCGTGTGAAAATAAAAGTCGAGAATAATTATAAGAATAAAATAAAATACCTATAGATGGGACTAAAACAAAAACTGTATTTTGTAAAACCCATCGTAGTCAATTTTTTGTTTGTTTGTTAGGAGATATGAAAGAGTTATATGTAAGAGTGTGGTGGACACAGAATTTTCTGAAAATAAGTGTTAGGGTTTGTTTGAAGCTCAATGGTGGCGAATAAATTTTGATAAATCCTATTAAGCAGGCACATCTAAAGCTACGAAGTATTATAATTTAACTAAGGAAAAACAAAACGAAATGGACGCTAACCAAAAATAAAATTTAGAATTGAAATTTTGAACTTACACGCCTTGAGCTATGAAATACGATTACTATGTTGATTACACTAATTGTAGGTGCGATATACAATATGCTTATCTCAACTTTATTCTATGAATGACATGTATGGGTAATTAGTTTAAAAATTTTTTTTTTGTAAAACGCACCGTGAAGTGCTTTTTTGGTTGGAGATTTAAAAGAGATATATGGAAGGGTTTGGTTGATATCTGGTATTTTCTGAAAACAAAAAATATTGATTTGTTTGAAGCCAAATGGTGTCGCTTATAATTCGAAAAGCTCTATTAATTAGGCGAACACGTCATAAGCTACGAAGTACTCTAAATTATTACGATGAAAACTAGAAATGATGTTGAGCCAAAAATAAAATTTAGAATTGAATACACGCCTCAAGCTATGAAGTATAATTATATTGTTATTAAGTACAGCAATCGTACATAAAATGCATTATACAACTAGCTTAGTTAGACTTTATCCTATGAATGAAATATCTAGATTATTTGTTTGAACTCAATAACATAGAAAAAAAGCTGTAAAATATCGAGCAAAAATTGCGATGACAGGCCGTTCAAGATTAATTAGTTTTTAAAGTTGAGACCAAGAATGAGCATTCAAAATTTTATTTTTCAAAATCATTCAATTAATTTATATTTTATCTAAAATTTATGTAGTTGCATGATAGCGCAACTGTGAGAAATGTTGAAGTCTTATTTGTGCTAGGTAAATACGTGACTGTTTAAAGCGGTTGTGCCTAATTTTGTTTACAAATCACTTGAGACAGTAAACTTGCAGGTTCAAACACTTTTGTTGCCATTTTTGAGTTTTCACTGAGGCATCATCTTGGCGACGACTAGTAAAACTGAGTTTTTGTTGTTGTGTTACTTATTGTGATCCCGGTATCAATTTTAAAAACATGTAATGCTGAATTCGTTGCATTTCGGGATTACAACAGACAAAATTATTAAACTGCCATTCTGACAGAAATCTCCAACCTTGCTACTGAAAGCCTCTCGTCATGAAACATTTTTGCAACTCGTACTTGAAGTATTTTCGCTCAACGCGCCGGTGGTGAGTTATCTGTTTGAGATCATTTACACAGCAAACACATTTTACGCGAATTAACAAATCTAATGATTTTTGTAATATTGTTTATCATAAATAGTTAGTTCAGTTCTATTGCATATTAACTTAGTATTTCGCAGACTCGGAATATGAATTTTAGTGCTCCTGTCGGACTATTGTTCTTGCAGATAATTTCATTACTGATGGTGTTGCAAGCTGGCAATATGGTTGAATGTCACGGAAGAGGAAGAGGAGGAGGAAGAGGAGGAGGAAGAGGAGGATGTAGAGGAAGAGGAGGAGGAAGAGGAGGAGGAAGAGGTGGAGGAAGAGGAGGAGGAGGAAGAGGAAGAGGAATAGCAAGTAAGTAGAGTTAATCTTGAAGTTATGCTATTGAAATCAATATCAAATTCAACTTGATTGTAAGTAGTATGTCATAGGAAAAGCTTTGAAAACGTTTCAATAACGCGACTTAATAAAGATATGAAAGAAGAAATTGAAATCATTTCAAATTTGCGAATGAGTGGATGGTTATGTTGTTGCCTGAGTTTAAATATTTGTTGACCATACAGTAAACTGAAGCCCTTTTGAAAATCATTGGTTGGATCTCACGTTTTGCCAACCCGAATGAAAACTTCCTATAAACTCTTGAGTCAATTTTGTTTCATTTTCAGGATAGTTCGTGGAACAGTTGGAGCAATTCCTCGAAGAATATAAAAGTAATAATATATTTTAAACTTTTTATTTTTTTGCCACCGAAATCAAATGCATATTTGGTCAATAAGTTTTTTATTTTATTACAGGTTTTCTGCACGAAGTTCAGAATATGCATGAAAATATATTGTGTATAACATTATTTGAAATGTATCTGATGAGCAATAAATAAAAGCAGAATCAAAATAAATCGACTTATGATATGTATGAATATGGGTAATTTCAATACATACACAGAAAACGGCAACTGAAATATCATCCAGTCTAGTGTCAATCAACAAGTTGCGCGTTTGTAGGGTGATTTCAAGCTTGACCACGTCGGAAACTAATGACATTGTTAAAATCTGCATTGGAAAAAATCAATTTGTCCCTGCGATTTATATACTCCTGTGTCAATCAGAAAGTTTTGCGTTGTTGAAAAGTTTTCGCGTATAATTATTTTTTTTGTCAAAAATTCAGGTTAAAATCTATGAGGCTGATATTCAATATGTTAGACTTTAATTATTTCTGTTTCGATATAAATGTAGAGTGTAAGAACAAGAAAAAAGTGACTGAAATACGTATTAGACATGGGAGCAGTGGAGTGTCAAGTGGCTTGTAAATCTTTAGATCTCGTAATTTATTTAGTTCCATCGTAACTAGTAATTAATATAATGTCCTGTCGACTTGAAATATGAATCCTGAAAAACATGTCGATCTCTTGTTACTGTGGATAATTGCAATTCTGATGTTGTGGCAAGTTAATGACATCGTGACATGTCGTGTTCAACGTTGAGAATTGAGTAGGTGAAATTGATCTAATGCTGCAACAAGAAAGCAAGATAGGATAGAAGAATGTTTAAACCCGTAAAGTCAGCAACGTCACATGAGAATGAAATAAAGGATCAAGATAGAAATTATTTTCGATGTTTTATGGATAAATTATTGCCCTGGTTTAAATCCTTAGTCGCACACGGATTCCAATCCCACAAGACCTTGTTTGAAGCATAAACTCAGAAAATTGAACTCAAAAATGTGACAAAATATATTAAGAAAATACGCCTCGAGCTACGATGAATAAGGATTCGCTAATAAACAAAGAAAATATACGTAGGGCTTTTAATACCATTAAATAACACCGGCCAACAAAAAATAAAAGTCGAGAATAATAATAGGAATAAAATAAAATACCTATAGAATGAACTAAAACAAAAACTGTATTTTGTAAAACCCATCGTAGTCAATTTTGTTTGTTAGGAGATATGAAAGAGTTATATGGAAGAGTGTGGTGGACACAGAATTTTCTGAAAATAAGTGTTAGGGTTTGTTTGAAGCTAAATGGTAGCGAATAAATTTTGATAAATCCTATTAAGCAGGCACATCTAAAGCTACGAAGTATTATAATTTAACTAAGGAAAAACAAAACGAAATGGACGCTAAACAAAAATAAAACTTAGAATTGAAATTTTGAACTTACACGTCTCGAGCTATGAAATATGATTACTATGTTGATTACACTAATTGTAGGTGCGATATACAATATGCTTATCTCAACTTTACTCTATGAATGACATGTATAGATTGTTTGGTAAAAAAATATATTTTGTAAAACGCACCGTGAAGTGCTTTTTTGGTTGGAGATTTAAAAGAGATATATGGAAGGGTTTGGTTGATATCTGGTATTTTCTGAAAACAAAAAGTATTGATTTGTTTGAAGCCAAATGGTGTCGCTTATAATTCGAAAAGCTCTATTAATTAGGCGAACACGTCATAAGCTACGAAGTACTCTAAATTATTACGATGAAAACTAGAAATGATGTTGAACCAAAAATAAAATTTAGAATTGAATACACGCCTCAAGCTATGAAGTATAATTATATTGTTATTAAGTACAACAATCGTACATAACATGCATTATACAACTAGCTTAGTTAGACTTTATCCTATGGATGAAATATCTAGATTATTTGTTTGAACTCAATAATATAGAAAAAAAGCTGTAAAATATCGAGCAAAAATTGCGATGACAACCCTTTCAAGATTAATTAGTTTTTAAAGTTGAGACCAAGAATGAGCATTCAAAATGCTATTTTTCAAAAAGATTCAATTAATTTATATTTTATTTAAAATTTATGTAGTTGCATGATAACGCGACTGTGGGAAATGTTCAAGCCTTATTGTTGATAAGAAAAATACGTGACTGTTTCAAAGCGGTTGTGCCTAGTTTTGTTTACAAATCACTTGAGACAGTAAACTTGCAGGTTCAAACACTTTTGTTGCCATTTTTGAGTTTTCACTGAGGCATCACCTTGGCGACGACTGGTAAAACTGAGTTTTTGTTGTTGTGTTACTTATTGTGATCCCGGTATCAATTTTAAAAACATGTAATGCTGAATTCGTTGCATTTCGGGATTACAACAGACAAAATTATTAAACTGCCATTCTGACAGAAATCTCCAACCTTGCTACTGAAAGCCTCTCGTCATGAAACATTTTTGCAATTTGTACTTGAAGTATTTTTGCACAACGCGGCGGTGGTGGGTTATTTGTTTGAGATCATTTACACATCAAACACATTTTACGCGAATTAACAAATCTAATGATTTTTGTAATATTGTTTATCATAAATAGTTAGTTCAGTTCTATTGCATATTAACTTAGTATTTCGCAGACTCGGAATATGAATTTTAGTGCTTCTGTCGGACTATTGTTCTTGCAGATAATTTCATTACTGATGCTGTTGCAAGCTGACAATATGGTTGAATGTCACGGAAGAGGAAGAGGAGGAGGAAGAGGAGGAAGAGGAGGATGTAGAGGAAGAGGAGGAGGAAGAGGAAGAGGTGGAGGAAGAGGAGGAGGAGGAGGAAGTAAGTAGAGTTAATCTTGAAGTTATGCTATTGAAATCAATATCAAATTCAACTTGATTGTAAGTAGTATGTCATAGGAAAAGCTTTAAAAACGTTTCAATAACGCGACTTAAGAAAGATATGAAAGAAGAAATTGAAATCATTTCAAATTTGCGAATGAGTGGATGGTTATGTTGTTGCCTGAGTTTAAATACTTGTTGGCCATACAGTAAACTGAAGCCCTTTTGAAAATCATTGGTTGAATCTCACGTTTTGCCAACCCGAATGAAAACTTCCAATAAACTCTTGAGTCAATTTTGTTTTATTTTCAGGATAGTTCGTGGAACAGTTGGAGCAATTCCTCGAAGAATAAAAAAGTAATAATATATTTTAAACTTTTTATTTTTTGCCACCGAAATAAAATGCATATTTGCTCAATAAGTTTTGTATTTTATTACAGGTTTTCTGCACGAAGTTCAGAATATGCATGAAAATATATTGTGTATAACTTTATTTGAAATGTATCTGATGAGCAATAAATAAAAGCAGAATCAAAATAAATCGACTTATGATTTGTATCAATAAGGGTAATTTCAATACATACACAGAAAACGGCAACTGAAATATCATCCAGTCTAGTGTCAATCAACAAGTTGCGCGTTTGTAGGGTGATTTCAAGCTTGACCACGTCTGAAACTAATGACATTGTTAAAATCTGCATTGGAAAAAATTAATTTGTCCCTGCGATTTACATACTCCTGTGTCAATCAGAAAGTTTTGCGTTGTTGAAAAGTTTTCGCGTATAATTATTTTTTTTGTCAAAAATTCAGGTTAAAATCTATGAGGCTGATATTCAATATGTTAGATCCTAAATATTTTTGCGATATAAATGTAGAGTGTAAGAACAAGAAAAGAGTGACTGAAATACGTATTAGACATGGGAGCAGTGGAGTGCCAAGTGGCTTGTAAATCTTTAGATCTCGTAATTTATTTAGTTCCATTGCAACTAGTAATTAATATAATGTCTTGTCGACTTGAAATATGAATCCTGAAAAACATGTCGATCTCTTGTTACTGTGGATAATTGCAGTTCCGATGTTGTGGCAAGTTAATGACATCTTGACATGTCGTGTTCAACGTTGAGGATTGAGTAGGTTAAATTGATCCAATGCTGCAACAAGAAAGCAAGATAGGATAGAAGAATGTTTAAACCCGTAAATTCAGCAACGTCACATGAGAATGAAATAAAGGATCAAGATAGAAATTATTTTCAATTTTTTATGGATAAATTATTGCCCTGGTTTAAATCCTTAGTCGCACACGGAATCCAATCCCACAAGACCTTGTTTGAAGCATAAACTCAGAAAATTGAACTCAAGAATGTAACAAACAATATTAAGAAAATACGCCTCGAGCTACGATGAATAAGGATTCGCTAATAAACAAAGAAAATATACGTAGGGCTTATAATACCATTAAATAACACCGGCCAACAAAAAATAAAAGTCGAGAATAATAATAGGAATAAAATAAAATACCTATAGAATGAACTAAAACAAAAACTGTATTTTGTAAAACCCATCGTAGTCAATTTTGTTTGTTAGGAGATATGAAAGAGTTATATGGAAGAGTGTGGTGGACACAGAATTTTCTGAAAATAAGTGTTAGGGTTTGTTTGAAGCTAAATGGTGGCGAATAAATTTTGATAAATCCTATTAAGCAGGCACATCTAAAGCTACGAAGTATTATAATTTAACTAAGGAAAAACAAAACGAAATGGACGCTAAACAAAAATAAAATTTAGAATTGAAATTTTGAACTTACACGCCTTGAGCTATGAAATATGATTACTATGTTGATTACACTAATTGTAGGTGCGATATACAATATGCTTATATCAACTTTATTCTATGAATGACATGTATAGATTGTTTGGTAAAAAAATATATTTTGTAAAACGCACCGTGAAGTGCTTTTTTGGTTGGAGATTTAAAAGAGATATATGGAAGGGTTTGGTTGATATCTGGTATTTTCTGAAAACAAAAAGTATTGATTTGTTTGAAGCCAAATGGTGTCGCTTATAATTCGAAAAGCTCTATTAATTAGGCGAACACGTCATAAGCTACGAAGTACTCTAAATTATTACGATGAAAACTAGAAATGATGTTGAGCCAAAAATAAAATTTAGAATTGAATACACGCCTCAAGCTATGAAGTATAATTATATTGTTATTAAGTACAACAATCGTACATGGAATGCATTATACAACTAGCTTAGTTAGACTTTATCCTATGGATGAAATATCTAGATTATTTGTTTGAACTCAATAACATAGAAAAAAAGCTGTAAAATATCGAGCAAAAATTGCGATGACAGGCCTTTCAAGATAAATTAGTTTTTAAAGTTGAGACCAAGAATGAGCATTCAAAATGCTATTTTTCAAAAAGATTCAATTAATTTATATTTTATTTAAAATTTTTGTAGTTGCATGATAACGCGACTGTGGGAAATGTTCTTCAAGCCTTATTGTTGATAAGAAAAATACGTGACTGTTTCAAAGCGGTTGTGCCTAGTTTTGTTTACAAATCACTTGAGACAGTAAACTTGCAGGTTCAAACACTTTTGTTGCCATTTTTGAGTTTTCACTGAGGCATCACCTTGGCGACGACTGGTAAAACTGAGTTTTTGTTGTTGTGTTACTTATTGTGATCCCGGTATCAATTTTAAAAACATGTAATGCTGAATTCGTTGCATTTCGGGATTACAACAGACAAAATTATTAAACTGCCATTCTGACAGAAATCTCCAACCTTGCTACTGAAAGCCTCTCGTCATGAAACATTTTTGCAACTTGTACTTGAAGTATTTTTGCACAACGCGGCGGTGGTGGGTTATTTGTTTGAGATCATTTACACATCAAACACATTTTACGCGAATTAACAAATCTAATGATTTTTGTAATATTGTTCATCATAAATAGTTAGTTCAGTTCTATTGCATATTAACTTAGTATTTCGCAGACTCGGAATATGATTTTAGTGCTCCTGTCGGACTATTGTTCTTGCAGATAATTTCATTACTGATGCTGTTGCAAGCTGGCAATATGGTTGAATGTCACGGAAGAGGAAGAGGAGGAGGAAGAGGAGGAAGAGGAGGAGGAAGAGGAGGATGTAGAGGAAGAGGAGGAGGAAGAGGAAGAGGTGGAGGAAGAGGAGGAGGAGGAGGAGGAAGTAAGTAGAGTTAATCTTGAAGTTATGCTATTGAAATCAATATCAAATTCAACTTGATTGTAAGTAGTATGTCATAGGAAAAGCTTTAAAAACGTTTCAATAACGCGACTTAAGAAAGATATGAAAGAAGAAATTGAACTCATTTCAAATTTGCGAATGAGTGGATGGTTATGTTGTTGCCTGAGTTTAAATACTTGTTGGCCATACAGTAAACTGAAGCCCTTTTGAAAATCATTGGTTGAATCTCACGTTTTGCCAACCCGAATGAAAACTTCCTATAAACTCTTGAGTCAATTTTGTTTTATTTTCAGGATAGTTCGTGGAACAGTTGGAGCAATTCCTCGAAGAATAAAAAAGTAATAATATATTTTAAACTTTTTATTTTTTGCCACCGAAATAAAATGCATATTTGCTCAATAAGTTTTGTATTTTATTACAGGTTTTCTGCACGAAGTTCAGAATATGCATGAAAATATATTGTGTATAACTTTATTTGAAATGTATCTGATGAGCAATAAATAAAAGCAGAATCAAAATAAATCGACTTATGATTTGTATCAATAAGGGTAATTTCAATACATACACAGAAAACGGCAACTGAAATATCATCCAGTCTAGTGTCAATCAACAAGTTGCGCGTTTGTATGGTGATTTCAAGCTTGACCACGTCTGAAACTAATGACATTGTTAAAATCTGCATTGGAAAAAATCAATTTGTCCCTGCGATTTATATACTCCTGTGTCAATCAGAAAGTTTTGCGTTGTTGTGGAGTGCCAAGTGGCTTGTAAATCTTTAGATCTTGTAATTTATTTAGTTCCATCGCAACTAGTAATTAATATATTGTCCTGTCGACTTGAAAAACATCCTGAAAAACATGTCGATCTCTTGTTACTGTGGATAATTGCAGTTCCGATGTTGTGGCAAGTTGATGACATCGTGACATGTCGTGTTCAACGTTGAGGATTGAGTAGGTTAAATTGATCCAATGCTGCAACAAGAAAGCAAGATAGGATAGAAGAATGTTTAAATCCGTAAATTCAGCAACGTCACATGAGAATGAAATAAAGGATCAAGATAGAAATTATTTTCAATTTTTTATGGATAAATTATTGCCCTGGTTTAAATCCTTAGTCGCACACGGAATCCAATCCCACAAGACCATGTTTGAAGCATAAACTCGGAATATTGAACTCAAGAATGTAACAAACAATATTAAGAAAATACGCCTCGAGCTACGATGAATAAGGATTCGCTAATAAACGAAGAAAATACACGTAGGGCTTATAATACCATTAAATACCCCCGGCCAACAAAAAATAAAAGTCGAGAATAATAATAGGAATAAAATAAAATACCTATAGAATGGACTAAAACAAAAACTGTATTTTGTAAAACCCATCGTAGTCAATTTTGTTTGTTAGGAGATATGAAAGAGCTGTCATCCATAGTTTACGAAAATATTAAATGAATGTGAAATAATGTGTCGCTCGACCAGAAGCGCTGTCGCGGCGCGCGTTAAAAACCGCTCGCCGAGCGAAACTGGAGCGACGCCGCGCGCCGCCTCCAAGCGCGACGCTTTCAGTGTATACGTTATCATTTGCAACAATGGGAAGCGATCTCGGGCGTATGTTGCGTCGCGTCGCATCCAGTGTAAACGCCCCTTTAGGCGTATGCGTCATAACTACGAAGTATTAATAACTTTTTACGATGAAAACTAAAAATGAGATTGAGCTAAAAATAAAATTTAGAATTGAATACACGCTTCAAGCTATGAAATATGACAACAATCGTACATAAAATGCATTATACAACTAGCTCAGTTAGACTTTATCCTAAGAATGAAATATCTAGATTTTTGTTAAACTCAATAACATAGAAAAAACGCTGTAAAATGTTTGAGATGGAAATAAACGTTGGGGAAAAAATGTAATGTCAGGCCTTACAAGATTAATTGGATTTTAAGTATGAGCACGAAAATGAGCACAGCGATGTTGATGACGAAACGTTGTAATGCATGACTTATTGTATTTTATGATTACGATTAAAAAGAGGATTTTCACAGATTTTATTAGATTTTTACGAATTGCATCAGAAAAAATCAAAACAGTCCAAAAACTACAACAAGCTGTATTCAACACTTGTGTTTATTAATTACCATTTGTCATTGATATCAGGAGAGAATAAATTTAGCACCTTTTTGCATTGTAGTACAATATCGTCATATAAAAGTTCACATCCGAATCAGTTTAAAAAAAGAATTGAATTTTGATACTTGTTATTTGTTAAATTCCTACACATCTGGTGTTTCTTAAACTAGAAATATGCATTTTGGAGCAAATGCTGAAGTATTGATCATGTACGTAAATTTAAGACTGATGTTACTGCAACATATACCATGCTTTTGTGTCAAGAACGACGAGGCGGCCGGCCGTAATAGGTTTAAAATAATGCTTTTATTGTTATACTTGAAAATCGTTTAAAATCATTTTATTTGGTATTCAGTATTATATTTGAGAAATCTTCACTATTGTTTCCAGAATTTTATTCGTTTTAGTTTCCAAAAATTAAAAATCCAAACCCACCATATGATTCATGCTGTACTCGTTTGAACGTTTGGAGATGAACGAAAATTAACAAAAATTGTCGGAGACTAATGAACTTATTACAGTTGATAAAACATGCATTGGAATAAATTGATTTATGATTTTTTCATTAATTTGAGCATTTTCAACATATAATAAAAAACAGTTTTTGATATTTGTTTACTCTTGCGTCACTCTAAACTTTGCATTGTTGAGTTTGTGTATGACCCTTTTTTTAAGTCAAAAATTAAGGTAAAAAGGAACTATGACGTGTATGGCCACTTGATATATTATATTTGAAATATTCCTGCTTTGAAATAAATGAAGATTGAGAACACAAAAAAACGACTTACTTGAGAAACTATTAGGCAGAATGGATTATGCTTAGTATGAAATATAAAATATAATTTTTTGATAAATTTATATATTGAATGAACCAAAGTTAGACGGGAAAAAGAAACAAAGAGACACGCAATATTCAAATTTCATAAAATATACATCGAGTGTTGGTTTTGTGCATGGAATTAAGCTGTCAATCTTGAAACATATTGCGACGAGAACTTTAAAATCATACAGGCAGGGAGGGGATTGTGCCAAGTTGATTCAAAATCAATATCTTGAGTCAAAAAAGTACAAATATCATTTTATTCTAGTTTTTGATTGCTACAACGTGTACTAGAACAACTTGCAACGTCCGCAGCAAATGAATGATCTTGTTTTTGCTGGTACTTGCGATACTGATATAGTTGAAAGCGACAGGGTGACATGCCATTTCAAAAAAATGATGGAAGAGAGCATTGCTGATCACATTTACCACACGGCGAAGGGTGAAAAATCCTTTCATCTACAGTTTTAGATGTTTCATATGAAGGCAATTTGAAAATTTTTAAGAACAAATTGAAGAGTTTCTTTCACTCTATCATTTTTGAATTTGAGTAACAGTTTGAGGTGAATGAATATTGGGAAATGTCATCGAAGAACAATAGGATGAATGAATTCCAAATCTCTCATTAATGGTGGAACGGTGGGCATATTTCTCTGAATCAATTAATGTTCGTTTACCTTTTTTGGTTATGGACTCTAGAACACACATGGACACCTACTAAATCAAATATTATTCAAATATACTTTTAATAGAGTTGGACTAAAATAAATGGACTTCTGATTTATAATTTAAGTGTGATATTGCATACACTTTATACAATCACTGAAATCACACTACACTCACTAATACTTGCGTCCTACAAAGCATTTTGCGTGCAAAAGTGACAATGCGTGAGTCACGTAAAATAAAGAAGAGTTTTACACTCTCGTGTTATTGAACCGAACATACCAAAAATTTTCACACCGCACCACTATGACCACAAATTAAAACCCTTATAAACCATAATAAATAGAAGTATTTAGAATTGACAACATAGAAATTAGTAACATATAAATTACAAATAGGCTTTCTTTATTTAGAGGGGGACCCGCAAAATTATAATAATGGGAAAGAGATTACTTGAGGAAAAGGGCTAGAGATTACATGGAAGATAAAAGGAAGATTCTGTCGCCTAATGTCGGGCTGGTTATAAATTGAAGAGACAAATGAGAATTAACGTAAGAGAGAGAAGAGTTTTTTTTATTGAGATTGCCCCAAAGAAACAGCTGATTAACGTTCAAAATTTAATTCAACTTAACTTTATTTAGCAATGAAAAGTGTACTTGCTCTTTTTTTAATATTACCTAAGTAAAATTTAAAGTAATGCTGTGAATTCCACATTTCATGATTTTATCTATCATTTTTCCGTGTAAAGAAAGGAAATGAAACACATCAATCACTTTAAAATTAAACGCACATCATATTCTTCTGTAAGTTGTAGCATTTGAATTTAAAATCAATATCTCGAGTTCACCTGCAATAAATATTGTTTCATTGTATTTATTTGCTTGCTACGTTCAGACTGTTCTTCGAAAATGGATGTATTAAACTCAAAAAATGGGTTGTGAAGATTATCTGTTTTTGTGTCGCTCAGTAAAGTATGAGTTGGTGAGAAATGTTTATGTGCGACCCTGTCTTGTCAAGTACCGTGAATTATTTCAATGATTTACATTCGATTAACGGTAACAAATAGCCATTCTTGGTCACAATCCATACCTACAGATTCGATCATTTGCAATGATCGCACCTTGGCATGATAGACCGCATTTTTATAGGCATTCGTTCTGAGCAAAGGGCTAGCGCACACAATCAAATATTAGGCAGACCCACCGCTACATGAAGTCATCAAATACCACCACGCCACCAATTTTGGTGTCATTCCAATTTATTTGGTAAATGTTATCAATTTAAAAATTTATTTTACAGCTTCAAGAGTCTAAATATGTATTACACGAATAGAATAAAATAGGATCAATTATATTGTGCAAGAACCTGAATTGTTACCTAAAAGTTTCAGAAGCAGATATACACCATTTCGTCACAGGAAACAGAGGAATTTAAATTCAAAACCTTGATTTCAGCATATAATTACATTTTATTCAATTGTTTTGTTTGCAAGGACATGCAATGACTACCTAAGAAGAATCTGACGCGAATTTACAACTACAATTTGGTCCATATATATTAGTTTAATCATTTTATCCTGATATTAATGTCCTAGTCAAATCTACTGAACGCCTTCGTTATTTTAAATTCTTTCACCTTGGATTTCATTATATTCCCATCATTTGTTTAGTTTCATCACTATT